CATAACTTACATTCCATTCCTTCATTCTTTTGATTTATTTTGACCCTTTTCCCCAAAGTCCCCACCCCTCAACAACACCCCGGAGCATTTCTAATTCAAGAACTCCAATGACTTTTTCTCATACCCTCGATGCTTGGTAGGGAAGGGGTAATAATGGGCTGACATCTTGTTTTACACTGCAGACAATTTTTTCTCCACCGGACAGAACGATCAGAGGATGCTCAAAAAGCAGCTGAAGGAACGTAACCCAGTGACTGGTCATGGGAACTGTTAAAATCGGCCTTAATCTATAAATCAAGCCTTAAATTCATGTAGTGCACTGGCAGTATCCAAACCTTTGCATTATGAAGGCCAGGGTTCAAGTCCCACCTACTCCAGCATATTACATCTGAAATGGTTGATTAAAAGTGTCTATAAAGGAAGCCTCTTATTGTTGCTGCAAAGTACTGAGTAATACTTATCTTAAAGGGCATGGGTTACATGTATGAGAGGGCCAGTAAATGGAAGATTTTATCAAAAACTGCTTACCATTAATTGAAATTTTGAAAGCTTTCCAAACAGCAAATATATTTCAATAAAGCATTGGTCAACTGTTGAATGCTGTGCTCACAAGTAACTTCAAATATTTAATTTGTCATGGAGGGAATGCCAGTTAAATTTTTATGTATGCAAATAATTTTAAAGGAATTGTCAGGTTGATTTTTCACTCCTTTTCCCTTTGAAAATATCCTCACATTTGTTTTAAACAAAGCTACACAGATAAAAAGGAAAAGTAATTTTTAATAAAGAGATAACAAGGTGTAGAGCTGGGTGAATACAGCAGGCCAGGCAGCATCAGAGGAGCAGGAAAGCTGATGCTTCAGGTCTGGACCAATCTTCAGAACTGGGGGAGGGGAAGTGGGCTCTGAAATAAATAGAGAAGGGGGAGGCGACGATGGAAGGTAGATAAAGGAGCAGATAGGTGGAGAGAAGACGACAGGTCAAGGAGGCAGGGATGGAGCCAGTAAAGGTGAGTGTAGGTAGGGAATTGGGATGGGGCTTGGTCAGTTGAGAGAAGACGGACAGGTCAAGGAGGCGGGGACGAGGCTGGCAGGTAGGAGGTGGGGATGGGGGTTGAGGTGGGAGGAGTGGATAGGTGGGAGAAAAGACGGACAGGTCAAGCAGGCGGGGATAAGCTGGGCTGGTCTTGGGATGAGGTTGGGGGTGGAGACATTTTGAAGCTTGTGAAGTCCACATTGACACCATTGGGCTGCAGGTTTCCCAGGTGGAATATGAGTTGCTGTTCCTGCAACCTTCGGGTGGCATTGTTGTGGCGCTGGAGGAGGCCCAGGATGGACATGTCGTCCAAGGAGTGGGAGGGGGAGTTGAACTGGTTCGTGACTGGGAGGTGCAGTCATTTGTCATGAGCCAAGCGTAGGTGTTCCACAAAGCAGTCTCCAAGCCTCCGCTTGGTTTCCCCGATGTAGAGGAGGCCACATCGGGAACAGTGGATACAGTATACCACATAGCAGATGTGCAGGTGAACATCCGTTTAATGTGGAAGGTTTGCTTGGGCCCTGGGATGGAGGTGAGGGGGGAGGTGTAGGGGCAGGTGTAGCACTTCCTGTGGTTGCAGGCAAAAGTACGAGGGGTGGTGGGGCTATTGAGGAGTGTGGAACGGACAAAGGAGTCATGGAGAGAGCTGTCCCTTCGGAAGGCAGAAAAGGGTGGGGAGGGAATAATGTCCTTGGTAGTGGGGTCAGATTGCAGGTGGCGGGAATGACGGAGGATGGTGCGTCGAATCCGGAGGTTGATGGGGTGGTACGTGAGGATGAGGGAGATTCTGCTTTGGTAGTTGTTGCGGGGAGGGGTTGTGAGGGATGAGTTGCGGGAAATGCGAGAGATGCAGTCGAGGGTGTTTCCAACCACTGTGGAGAGGAAATTGCAGTCCTTGAAAAATGAGGGCATCTAGGATGTCCGGGAGTGGAATGATTCATCTCGGGAGCAGATGTGGCGGAGGCGAAGGAATTGGGAATAGGGGTGGCATTCCTGCAGGAAAGTGGGTGAAAGGAGGTGTAGTCTAGGTAGCTGTGGGAGTTAGTAGGCTTGAAATAGATATCAGTTTCCAGGTGGTTGCCAGAGATGGAAGCAGGGAGGTCCAGGAAGGAGAGAGAGGTATCGGAGATGGTCTAGGTGAACTTAAGGTTGGGGTGGAACGTGTTAAGAAAGTTGATGAACTGTTTGAGCTCCTTGTGGGAGCATGAGGCGGTGCCAATACAGTCATCGATGTAATGGAGGAAGAGGTGGGGGATGGGGCCAGTGTAGCTACGGGAGACGGATTGTTCCACGTATCCTACAAAGAGGCAGGCATAGCTTGGGCCCATGCAAGTACCCATGGCCACCCACTTTGTCTGTAGGAAGTGGGAGGAGTTGAAAGAGAAGTTGTTAAGGGTAAGGACGAGTTCAGTTAAGCGGATAAGGGTGTCAGTGGAGGGGGACTGGCTGGGCTTGCGTGAGAGGAAGAAGCGGAGGACTTTTAGGCCATCTGCATGGGAAATGCAAGTATATAGGGACTGGACATCCATGGTGAAGATGAGGTGTTGAGGACCAGGGAATTGGAAGTTTTGGAGGAGGTGGACCAGTTCCTGGACCAGAGGGGAGAAAATTGAGACAAGATAACTCCTTTAAATCTAAAGGACTCGAACACAAGGATACAAAAGTTATGCTGCAGGCATACAAAACCCTAATTAGACCTCACTTGTAGTACTGTGAGCAAATCTGGGCACTACAGTTTAGAAAGGATATATTGGCCTTGGAGAGGTTACAACATCAGTTTACAAGAATGATCTTCAGTGCTACATTACTGATCCAGCATCACTGCCATTTGTGGAAAAGAGTTCCAAACATCTACCACACTTTGTGTGTAGAAATGCTTCCTAACACCTCTCCTGAATGGTCTGGTCCTAATTCTCAGACTATGACCCCAGTTCTAGAATTCCCAACCAATGGAAATAGATCAACACTATCTACCTCACCGTTTCCTGTTAATACCACGAAGACTTCAATCAGATCACCATTTTGTCTTCTACATTCCAGAGAAAACAGGCCTAATTTATATAATCTTTCCTCATAACTTAACCCCTGAAGTCCAAGTATCACTCTTGTAATCAAGTCAGTGACTGCAGCTAGCCTCATCCATCAGGGATGGTTGAATCTTAACATCGACGATTGTAGGCAAGGCATTGCATGTTAATAAGGATAACACTAAGGTTAAAAGTGATGTACAGGAAAGATATCAAGGCCTGCCCTCAACACATTGTTCAATATACCTCATAAAGTAATGGTTTGGATTAAAAAGGCTCACAGAGTGCTAACTTTTTCAGTTCAACACCGGCATAGAGGATTGTTAGGCATATCAAGGCTATGTTACAGTCTCAGAGCATGTTGAAGCAATGCAGAGAAACAGCTGAAGGAGGGATCAAAAGGAGCTTCCTAAGGATGTGTGTTAATCTGGTATCTCCGATCAGGGAGTAGACTACATGTCCGGCATTTGTCATAGCCTCTCGAATAGATTCACGGCCAAATAACATTAGAGCCAAGTGATGTAAGTGCACTATCTTACTGTTGCTTTTTTTCCCCTAATTCTGATAGAGCAGCTTATGCATAGCTAATTTAACATTGGTTTGACTGAAGATTTGATTCAGACATCAAAAAGAATAATTCATTATGGAATACCAAATGTGAAGATCAGCAATAAAACCAATTAGATTTTTCATATTCAGAATGTAAAGTGCCTGCCTGATGAGCAACTTCGGTGTAGAAAAACATCTCAACTCAGCTCAGTCGCCCTGGAAGTGGGTGGTAATTAACCTGTCTCTGGCTTTTTAGGCTCTCCAAAATATTGCTATTTCTGCTTCTTCTGAATGGCTATCCTGGACATTCTATAGATCTTCAGCCTTATCTTCATCTTCAGAGGACAGCTCTCATTCCCACATTGCTTCTATATATAAGCTATCCCTGACCTCTTTGTCAGCTCAAATTGTGAAGGACGCAGCTTACCACAATGATGTGGAACACCTGGTTCTGGGCTATACTGAAAGACCCCACTGAAGCAGTCCAGGCATTAAAACCTTATCTTCAGAAAGCCTATGGTCTGGCCTGCAATGGGTAGTATTTTACTTTTGCTAATCATCTGTCAGTGTGTTTCTTAATTGTCTCATGAGGGGATACCCCTTTTCTTTGAGTAGCTATCCCTGTACTGGCCAAGTACATTGTAGAGAAGCAGGAACTTATGAGTTCTCCACAAATTTTGGTATCTCCCAGTATATCTGTCACAGACCTCTCAAATGTGCTTTTGATCATCACAAATTGTTGACCAGTAAAGGACTGTGATCCTTTCCTATTCATTCCAGCTGTATTTGAATGTTGAACATTTCCAGCATTTTCTGTTTCTTTCTCTAGTTATATTAGTCTAATTATGTTCTTATAAAACCTTTCTGAGCATATCTTTAGAAAATCTGGTATAAAATTATAATATTTGGAGTTACTGTGTTGAAATGCCTGCATTATATTTTAACAGCTTTTCTTGCTTGAAAACTAGGAATTTATTTTCATTAATTTTAATGACTAGAAAATTATGAGGTACGTGAATTCAAATTACAGAAACATGTAAACTCAATGCATGCAAGACTCTGCATGTGGAGTTGCGAACATGAATGGCTGGTTTCCTATCATTAATGTTTCCAACGATCTTGATGAAGTCCCATTATAGTCAGTCACAGAGCACAAGGCCCAATAAAATCAATCTCCGATGAGAACAAAATGATAAGTTCCATGAGTTTACTATTAAAAGGTCTGAACATTTACAACAACTTAAACAATATGGCTTTCTTCATAGATCATTTGGCTATAATAAGTGTGTCAAAATAAATCTGATGTTAAGAACCGTAAAATGTTATTGACAGTGCATGATGGAGTGTAGCCAGAGGCATCATGTCAAGTAAGAAGTAATGGCCACTTACCTTACAATGTCAAGTATGTTTCCAAAGAGGAGCAAAGAATGTTTCTTTCAAAGGTAAAAGAAAGTGGAACTTCAGGTCATTATTTCACAAGTCTATGATTCTGTATGATATCTAATTTTGTTTTTTTTTCCCTAAGTTCAAATAAGTAAGCATTTCTGTGAAAGTAGAAGAGAAAATCATGAATTTGGTTCTTCCGGGTGCTTGCGTATAATTTAAATTGCTTCGATTGCGAAAACCAGAGTAGTATTTCCGGATTGCTTAGAGGCAAAGTTCAACTTTTTTACGATGAGTAAATATTAGAATCCATCTCTTCACTGAAATAAATTACCTGTGGAAAATCTCCCAGCAACATTTCAGCCAACAGATTCTGTGGAGCATTGTAAAACCTTGGTGGAGAGATTAGTCTGTGTTTAAGAACTTTTTGAACATTTCAGCGTTGACTGTCCTTCATTGTTTTTCAAAATATTTGTACTCACTCTTAGATTTGTTAGAGTTTCCACATAAAAATATTACAAAATAGACTTAGAGGCATGTGACACATTAAGCCATAGGCAGATGATAGGAATTTACAAGAATAAACTTATGTTTTGAGCATGCAATTGGGTTAGTAAGGAAGTGAGCATAGATTCAGCTTTTCATCAAAGAAAACTGAGAAACATACACAGAAAATAGGAACAAGAGTAAGCCATTCAATCCTTCGAGTCTGCTCTGGCATTCAACACACTCACGGCCGATCATTCAACTCTGTATCCTGTTTCTGCACTCTCCCCATACTCTCTGATCCTTTTAGAAAAATGATCTATATCTAACTTTTTCTTGAAAACATTCAGTGTTTGGCAGAGCATTCTGTAGGCTCACCACTCTGTGGATGAAGTGAATTTTAATCGTCTCAGTCCTAAATGCCTTAAATCTTAACCTTAGATTGTGACCCCTGGTTTTAGGCTCCCTGGTCAGTGGGAATAGTCTTCCTGCATTTATTCTGTCTAGTCCTGTTAGAACTTTCTAGGTTTCTATGAAATTCCTCCTCATGCTTCTAAATGCCAGTGAATAGAATATTAACTGACCTATTTGTTCTTTATACACCAGTCCTACCATCTCAGGAGGTAGTTTGGTAAGCAATTGGAGCAAGATACCTCTGCTCCTGCACTTGTAATCTCTCGCTGTGAAGGCTAAAACATCATTTGCCTTCTTCACTGCATGCTGCACCTGAATGCTTATTTTAACTGACTTGTGTACGAGGAATATATGCCAGGTCTCATTTCTATTCCCCCTTTCCCAATCTATCACCTTTCAGATAGTAATCTGCCTTCCTGTTTAGGTACAAAAGTGGTCAACGTCACATTTATACACATTATATTTCATCTGCTATGCATTTACCCACTTACTCAACTTGTCCAAATCACACTGAAACATATCTGCATCTTCCTTACAGTTCACTCTCCCACTCAGCTTTGTGTCGTGAACACAGACAAAAGTATCAGGTAAATCATTCATGTACTGCTGCTCCTGAGCCTCTTTTTTTCCTCTTCTTTGTAAATGTGCTCATTAGCTTCTCACCTATAGGTGGTGGACAAGAGCTGTTCTTTCTTGATGACTGGGCTGTGCAGCTATTCAGTTTGCAACCACCAATCTGAAGATGCGTTTAGAAAAGGACTGCAAAGTAATGTAGGCAATGAAATAGTTTCTCCAGTAAGCAAAAATCTGCCTATCAGGTTTTCTCTGGTAATGTATATGCTGTACATGAGTGCAGCCATGTTATCACACAATTCCCCTTGTGAAATAATTCCAAGGAGGCAGGTATCCCATCATTAAGTCACCATTTATTTACATGTACACAGTACATAGGCCTTGTCAAAACAGCTCCAAGCCAGTCTGAGGAGACCTTCTGAATCTCCTGTTTATATCTGTCAGCCAGAGCTCCCTGATTGGCCCAGGTTAACAAGTCCAATCAAGGATCTCACAGTCAAGGAGATCAACCTGGCCCTCATTCCAATCACTACACCTTGTTACTCTGGAGGCACCATTTGATGTTCCACGGCACGCAAACATCATTTGGTACAATGTATTACCCTTAAGAGAAGGCATCATGACAGCTGACATGTATTAACCCACATGATGTCTTGCCTTTGGTGATATACTGGGAGCATGGTTAACAGAGTGAGCTTCCTTGCCTTTGGCTATATACTGGGAGCACGGTTACTGAGTGGGCTTCTTTTTGATTCAAGTACATGGTAGAATTCGCCTAAGGTGCAAAAAGCACTGTGCATGCAGCAAATGGTACTCTGCACTGTGAGGATGCTTGAGATTCCTTACCAATTCTTCTTTTTACTTGACCGGCTTCTCTTTGACAAGAAGGAATGAAGGAATAAAGAGACTCTGTGACCTGCTGTAAGCATCAAGGCATGTCAAACTGCAAGCTGTTATAATATTTTTAACATCAGCCAAGAGGAAACTACTATCACAACTGGGAGTGCAAACCTTGCCCTGTTCTGAGGTCACACCTGTAGTTGTAGGTGCTAGATTTCAGTGACATTGTCCTTTGTAATACACAGACATCACAAAAATTGTTGTTATTGAGGTATCCAAGCATAGAATGACATGTGAGTTTTTCTCTCAGAAGATTGAGACTTTGGAATTCCCTTCCTCTAAAGACAGTGCTTGCAGAATCTCAAAATATTTTAAGGCACAGTTAGGTAGATTTTTAATTACCAATGAGATGAAAGATTATCAGGGATATATAGGAATATAGAGTTGAAGTTAAAATCAGATCAGCCTTGACCTTATTGTCTGGTGGAGCAGGCTGAAGGGGAAAGTGGCCTTCTCTTGTTCTTTATTCATATGTGAGACACAACTTGATAAAACTACATTGTATCCTGAAGGGTCTTGATGGGGCATGCGTAAAGAGGACTACCTGTAATTCCTCTCCAAGCTACTCACTATCGTAGCTTGGAAAAATGTCACTGTTCATTAGAGTTGCTTTGTCAAAATCCTGGTATTTCATTGAGGATGTACCTACATCAAATGGACTACAGCTGTTCAAGAAGGCTGTTTGCCATCAACTTCTCAAGGGCAATTAGGAATGGGCAACTGAATTGATCTCTGAATGCCCTAGTGAGATATGTATTCCTGCTAATAGATTTTCTTTACCATTCCTCCTCCCTCTTCCAGCAGCTTGCCTTTTTCTGTATGGCCCCTGGGCATAACCCCAGTCATGTTCAGCTCCAAGAGAAAGGCCTGTTACTGTACCCAACACTGGGAGCAACTGGTTTGTTTGGAAACCATGAATTCAGCAAAAAGTGCCTCTGCTCCTTATGGAGATAGGATGCAACTGTGTTAGATGTAATTCAGTGAAGGCTTATTAGAGAGATAACTAAAATGATTGAGTTGGCTTATGAGGAAGGGTTTGACAGGCTGGGCTGGTGTTTGCTGGGACAAAAACAGAAGTTGCTGGAAAAGCAAGGGTCACCAGAACCGAAACGTGAACTCTGATTTTTTCTTCACAGATGCTGCCAGACATGCTGAGCTTTTCCAGCAACTCCTGTTTTGTTCCTGATTTATTGCATCCGCAGTTCTTTCAGTTATTATTTAATATCTGCTGGAGTTTAGAATAGTAAGAGATGATTTCACTGAAACATACAGGATACTGAGCATTTTTGATAGGGTGCAAACAGAAAGAATGTTTTCTCTTAGGGAAGAATCTAGAGCTCAGGTTTACTGTTTCAAAATAAGGGATCGCTCTTTATAGGACAGTGAAAAGGAGATTTTTTTCCTCACAAAGAGTAGTGTTTCTTTGAAACACTTTTCTTCAAAAGGTGTGAAGCAGAGTCTTGGAATCATTTTAAGACAGAGGTAGATAGAATCGTGATAAGCAAAGGGCGAATGGTTATCAAAGATAAACAGTAAGGCAGAGTAATCAGATTAGCAATAACCATATTCAATAATGGAGCAGACTTAAGGGACTAAACAAGCTACTCTTGCTCCTAATTTGGATGTTTGTCTGCCTTTGGTACATCACTTCCAGTAGAAGAATATGGAAAGCACCAAAAACATGTAGGACTGTAGCAATAACCCAAAGTAAACTAACAAGTAACCTGAATGCAGTTGTTCGCCTCTTTAAATAGCACTGCAGGGAGGTTCCTTCATGCTTTTGAAAACCATGCCCAAGCTTGCAAGGTTAAAAATCAGCATTAGCTGTAGTGTGGAGCTCCAACATGGCAGAGGTGATGTCTGTTTGTAGATATTTTCTATTCAACCTCTAGAGCAGATGGGACTTGAAGTGGGCCTCCTGGCTGAAAGATAGGGACAGTACCACAAGATGTATGCTGATGAATATCATAATGTGCCCATGGAGGTAACCTGAGCGCACAATTCCCTTTATTAATATAAATATTAATTTATAGGACGTTTTCCATCAATGTCACAACATGGCTATTATGGAGCATCAAGACATCTTTTATTAACAAAACAACAGGTTCATTTGAGCCCAGTTTCAATCTCCACCCCCTTCCATATGTTTCCCATCGACAATTCTCTGCTACAAAACTTCTAAACATCTTTGGTTGATGCATGAGTCATTTCATTCGTGTCATGCTTATTCATCTAGGGAATCTTTGCAACAGTGAAGTTATATCAACAAATGCCACAGTTTTTGTAGTTGAGAAATAAACAAAATTTCAGAGTATAAGTGGTTCACACTGGGGCATCTATATCGAATAGAAAATCTTGAAATTGGACAGGTTTGATTGGATTGGAAACACAATTTGAAACAAGGAAGAAACAAATCAATTGACTTGTTATTTAACATGTATGAGAGATGTTGCCAAGTAAAACCATTTCTTCTTCACATCAATACTCATGAAGTAAGCTATTTCCTCAGTGCTTGTCTGTGACAACCTGGTATTAGCTGATAAACTCATCTGTTGCAAATGGGATAGGACATTTTGTTCTTCTAAAGGGCGAATAAAGGTCTTGCAATTTAATCAAGGCTGTTCACATTGTTGTAGAGATTAGTTTATTCTACACAGCCTTCCTTTTAGATAAAGGCTACATTTTCTGACACCAAGGAGCATGTGCAGTATACTTTAGGGAGATGTTAATAAGATTCATTGAAAAGTGTCCACATCTTTGTCACTGGGCTGTTTGCTAATACAAAAAAAGAGTTGCATTTCCTGACACT